ATCTTAGAAAAATTTATCCACTTTGTAGTATACCTTTTTGAGCAAGAGTTTCTTGCTTTTTAAACATATTTAATGAGTCAGCACTTCCTATTATTAATTAAATGGAAAGAGGTTAAACATTTTTCCACTATAAACGGGACACTACATATTTTAGTTTCACTTTTAAATTAGTTATTTGTATATGCCTTTTATTAGTTCCAGTTTTTATCCGTACTGAGCCACTAAAACTTTTTAATGGTAATGTCTCTGTAAGTTTAGGTACGTTTTGATCTCAATCTATCAGATAGCAATGCTAGGTATGAAGATTTAAATCCTAGATGTAACATCCTCTTCCAAGTTTTGTGATGGAAAAATTCAGTTTCAGATGAACACTATCTTTTTTACGCCAAAGAGAAATTATATTAGGATAAATTCCTTACACCATGGCTAAATTCGAAACAAATTACCTACTTTTTTTGTATAAAAGCACAAAATATTTTTTTTATTTGGCATTACTTTTGCACAAGCGTCTATCTGCCTATAGTGACTTTTCTTGTATTATTGAGCATAACTTGATGTTATTTGACGCAGTTGTTATTTTCTTCTAAATATATTTTCAGTTTTATAATGATTATAGAACCAGGAAATAAAAATTAAACTTCTTGACAATCATTACAAAATGTAAACAAAGCCATGGAATGGCATGGCAGTGTATAGGCGGCCGTGGCAATACCGATGTTGACGTCATAAAACCTGCGCACCGCTTCACCTGTATCCTTACACCATGACTGCATCTGATTATACGGTAGACGTGTTCGGTTAATACTCCGCGAGCAAAACAAATATGAGGTCTATTCCTTTTCATCGAAAATATCGTTCCATCCATACAATTTTTATAAATGGAACGATATTTTCGTAAGTACTGTAGCTCAGTGCTACACTTTTAATGCAAAGAAATAGATTCCATCACGAGGGCTTCTGTCAATATTGTATTTTTTAGCTCGCGGAGGATTAACCGAACTCTCCTGCTGAATCAGAAGGAAGGGTATATTCATCTCTGTCGTATTTGCTTTGCACTCTTTTTTGAAGGAACTAATAAAGATAAATTTGACCTGTAGCATTTGTCTTGTAAAATAAAAACATTGTTCAAAATGTTCAAATTTATTATTGGAGTTTGATATCTGGAGATTGCAGTAATTTTTTAATTTATTGATATTTCAGAATAATATTTAAAACAAAAAAGAATACCTATATATAATTACGATGTTTCTAAAACGCTTTTAAGAAATCATTTCAGAAACATTTTTCTTTAGAGCCATCGTAGGAATGTACCATTTATGTCAGAAATATAGAAACATACATGGAACCTAAATGGGATGTTTCTGGCAGATCTGTGTTTTTAGGGTTATTATAAAATATCGCACAATCTAGTCAGAAATATAACGTCCCAGAAACGTTACAATGTGACGTCTGCAAATACCTAAAAAATGACGTCTTTGAGATGACATTTTCTGGATATGTTACTGAAACGTTCATTTTAGCAACATATCCACATTGACGACTGGGGATAGGAAGAACAGTAATGTTATCAAACACGTTTAATTAAAAAATCGTATAGTTAGAAGAAATTTATTTGTGTGTGTGTGAGAGATATGGCTTCGGACGGTGTCCATTTGCCACAGAATGTTTAAATAATAGAAACGGAATACAGAAAAGAAAGAAATAAGAGTAGGGTCTCAAATATCTAGCTTAGTGTCGCATATAAAATGAAATTTATTTTAATAAAAAAAAAAAAAAATACCGATTTTTCAAAAATCGGAAAGAAATTCAAATTAAATCTTAGACATTTAAAAAGTTACAAACTTTCTTATAGAAATAAAAAATCCCAATTTCCTAGAATACTGATATGTTTTTTGTATACATTTAACAGTGATGTGTTATTCCCAAAAATTTCTTATCTTTACCAATAGTGGGATTCTCATCTTTCAATACAGCATATTATGCCTATCTATTATTGTGATGACATACTGAAACAACTAAGTATATTGCACAACAATTTTGTTAACCCGTTATATATTTTAAAGAGAAATTACTACACTATAAGTACCCTGTGGAGTGGGCGGACAGAATGGTGATACCCGGATATTTACCATCGGGGTAGAAGCCCACCAAATGGCCACTTTTTAAAAAAGGGGCATTTAGAGATACCTTAGCGACGTTATTAACCTGCAGGACTTTGACCAGAAAGGCTGGCTATCACTAGACACCCCCCAGCGATAACCAGCTGGTTTTTGATAATTTAATAACCTGTAGAATTTCAATGAGCTGGGAAGATGGCTGTCTTTAGACACCTCTCAGCGAGAACCAGCAGGTTTTGACAAGTTGAGAGGCAAGTCCTATATGCTCCTGAAGGGTGCACAAGAGGCCCTATGAGGCCTAAGTGCTGTCCCCTCCTTACAGATATTACACTACATGGAAAAACAGTGCCAAATAAATAATTTATTTGAAAAAAATACGATTGCCATAGGTTTTTTTTATCTATTTCAAAAGATAAATCAATAACCATAAGTAAAAGTATATTTTTAAACACGTATTTCTGCCACAAGTAAACAAGTTTTTTAAAACTGCTTTAATAACCACAAAATTACATATATTTACTATTTTTACAACTTTTACTTATGGTTAAAAACATTCACTTACGGCTAGCGACTGCTTCAATACTGTAAGTCCCGATCATCAATAAATCATAAGCGAACCAAGAGTTGATTAATCTGATTTCTTACTTACTTTAACTTGTTAAGTTTTTTGCATTGTATTTGGCGGTCATACACCTTTTTCATGTGCTAAGTATAATCAAGAACACAATATATTGACACCTATACGTATACAAATGTCAATGTCAAATTTTCATACCAATATAGTGAAAGTAGTGTTATATCACTCCCGCTTCCGTAGTAACAATTAAATGAACAAAAAACGGCTAGTTATGTCAAATGAATATCTTCTAAATATAACAAATATGTTGCCTAAAAAAGATTTAATAAGTAAAATAAACTCTAATCCTATACCCATAATAGATGTTTCATCCTCCTCAAGGCTGTGTCCACATACCCTCCTGTGCCTAGTTCATTCTATTTTCCATTGAGCCTTAAACTTTATTCATTTAATTAGCGTATTCAATTTATAATATTGCAACCGAAACGTATCAATTATTTTATTTCAAACAGAAGCGAATAATAAGGATGGTCAAATCTAATACGAAATTATAAACAGTCATTTAAATATTTTTGCTTCCAAAAGTTGTGCTTTGGCTAAGTTATGATATTTACGGTGGATCAAACTGTAGAAGCGGGAAATCGAGAAAATGAGGTTAAATTAAAAATGCCCGACAACAACCATAAATGTAATTCGCAAAAACCAAAAAGTATTTTGGCGAAAATTCACATGTATTTTAAGGAGTACTGTAATAGTACCAGTATCCATGGATTCAAGTATTTCGCTGAATCTAGATCTTTATGTGAAAGGTACGTATTTTATTTTTTAGTATTTATAAAAAGAAATTTTGAAATAAAAAATATAGTAGAATAGGAGTAAAATTAAAAATGCGATAGAACTTTGTAAGCCTAAATTTAAATAGGAATAACGAATTAGTAATATAGGTAAATGCGATAAAAAAAATTGTTGTGTATTTAATAAAAAAACAAAAAAATATACACGAAAAAGAGCCTTCTATGTTTTACTTTGTTTCAGCATGTTTGAGTTTGCGCTTTTGTTGCAAGAAGGTAATGGTGTTTAAAGGGTTAAATTTAAATAAATAAAACTTGATAAGAGCACTAATTCTTTTCATTCGTTGTGGAATCTCTTTCGAATCATTCTGAGTCATTCGAGGTTTAGGATTTTTTCAAAAGTCATCAACTTTTGGAATAATGAATGTATTCTATATTTGCATCATACTGTATGTTTTCATTTGATATTTTGTTTCAGGTTATTATGGTTAATATTAGTATTATTTTCCATATCAGCTTGTGTATACCTCATAGTCCAAACCTACGTTAAATTTCAGCAAAGTCCAGTCATTGTTAGTTTTGCTACAACAAATACTCCGATATATACTATTCCATTTCCAGCAGTTACAATATGTCCTTTGTCAAAAGCGAGAAGTAGTCTATTTAATTTCACTGACGTGATGGCTAAAATCAAAAGAGCAAAACAAATTTCTGATAAAGATTTGACATCACAACTGGTAATTAAACATTAAACCAACATAATATAAGACTGGATAAGTGGGCAAGTGCGAACGTAATTTGTACGGTTATGGATTTAAGATCTGGAGAATAGTCAGAGATTTTTCCAACCGTTCCCAATCAGTTGGCAATCACTTCATTTATTTCTACGAACGCCAAACTAATAATTATTCGAAACTATCTGTGATTGTTCTACGAACGTAAAATATTCAATGCGCATGCGATGTTAGTTGGAAACAAACCTATTAATTACATAAAAAATTAAACGTAATTTTAAGTTTATTTACGGCATATTCTTAATTGGCAAAGAAAATAGAAACTACAATAAAAAGATAATACCAAAAAAACTGTAAAATTCGTACCTAATTTTTTTACAACTTTAGGCATTTTGCGCGAATGTAAGATATTGTTCGATTTTGAATATTTTTATTTTGTTTTGCAAGTAGGGGAGGTCCGCTAACAGTTGCCACCCTTTTTTATAAATTGGCATAAGTTCTAAACTGAGCATATTTACCAACTCCAAATTAGCTTGTAGAGAGTGTCACTGATGCAAGAAATGCAAGTATTACCACTTTTATCCAAAAAGTTTTGTACAATCCAAGAAAAAAATTATCGAAAAAAAAATTGTTTTTTGGCCACTGTACCAACTAGTATGGTACAGTGGAAAAATTTTAAAGGTACAGTGGACAGACAACAACTTCTCCTAAAAATATTTTTTATTAGGTCAAAACATAAAAAAACAGAAACAGAATTCATGAAGCAGATCATAAATTCAGTCTAATATAGATTGTAATTAGTCAGGTCCGTGGAAAAGTGATGGTACCGTTGAACTCTTGCGGTGCCTCCCGTCGATACCGGAGTTGGTAATGACATCACGATATCTTCTGGTGGGACAGTTGACTGATCTGAGACATCAGGAAAAGAAAACTTGTTTTCTCGTCTTTTTCTTAGAAAGCTAACACTATATTCTTTAAACCTGTTGTCGATGTCCGTAACTTGGCCAACACAATATTTAACTTGTTTTTTTGTAGCAAGTTTTACTAAGATAAAGCTTCCAACCAAAATTTCACCATCGCAATTCTGATCTCTAGGTTCTTCAGTCCAATTAACACCATCAGAGTCCGTAAGGTTCAAGCTTTCGGTATTAGATTCTGTATCGCTACTATCGTCATTCCTTGGAGCTAATGTTTTTTTATTGGCCGTCTCTGTATTAAAGCTGAAAATGTTTCTTGTAGTGGACTTGCTTTTGTTTAAATTTTGTTTCCTGGATTCCTTTAAGTGCTCCTGCTCCTGGATTTCCTTCAATATCGGAGTGCTGGTCAATATTTTCGTAGTTTTTTTTTGTCTTTTTTGTCCCATTTTTTTAATCTGATTAGTTTTTGGGTATGGCCTTAAGGCCTCGGGACTAAAAACTTTTTGTGGTGGAGTTATCTCTTTTTGGTTTTGAAAATCTCTACAGCTTGGGCCCGCTTTTTCTAGTAGGCTATTTTGTTTTTGTGGTGTAACTTTGGCAGTATCTTGGCTGGGATTAATTTCTTCTGGTTCATTATCTTCTTCGAGAGGTATGTCAGTAACTTGGGCGGCCAAAAAATCATCGTCAATGAAAATGTTTGAATTAAACGGGTAAATGCCCGTAGCTCTGAAACCCGATGCACAATTATTTGTGGAAAATGCGTTGCTATAGATCTGGCCTAGAATTTCAGCAATGTCATATATGCTTATGCGTTGACCAGGATAGTTCATCAATTACGAACGGCAGGCACTATTATAGTGCGATTTCAGCGGACCATAGACAGCTCTGTCCAGTGGCTGCAGTTTGTGGCTCGTATGATGAGGCAAAGTAAGTAAAGTTATGTTATTTGCTCGAGCCATTTTTATTGTTGTGTAAGAAATGTGACTAATGTGGTTGTCCATAGGATATAAAATGCTGCAGCCACTGAACAAATATTAGCGACGTCATCCAACCCGAGTGTGATGCTACTCCTATGGTTCCATTTGGTGCACCTATAATAATGAATTTTCTCGGAAATATTAAAAGCGGCGGTATATTATTGCCATCCGCATTTATTGCACCACACATTGTCACCAAGGTCCATCTTTCACTGGACGTTATTTGACAAACTTGCGGTTGGCCTTTCATAGCTACCACTTTACCTGTCTCTTGTACTGTGGTCAGAGCCGTTTCGTCCTCCGAGCAATTACTAATAGAGGGAGCGTGAAAACGAGTTTGTAGGCGATTGTTGTGTTAGCAACATCTGTAGAGGAAGTGAGGAAGCGGGCACAAGAGGGAAGGTAAACATCCTTCTTGTTCAGTGGCGTATCATTTATCTATAAAAACACACATTGTCCAAACGTTTTAATTGTAAAAAAAAAAAACTAAAAAATTTGCTAATTTTACTATTTTTAAAATGAATACCGTCATATATATGTCTAATGCAGAAAAAGAAACAAAATCACTGTAAAGGTCTAATTTTTTCAATTGAAGAATAAAACCTTAAAATAAATTTTATTATAAATACAGGAGCGACTAGTTTCGGCCTTACAGGAACATCTTCAGGCCTGTAATACAATAATCTTTAATTATTATAATGGGTTGGTCACTTACGAATAACATTAAATAGTATAAACCACATAAATGGATCCATATTGTAGCGTTACAGCATTATAGAATTAAAGCTGTGAAAATAAAAGAGCAGTGCAAACGTAACTAAAAATAAGAAAACTGAATACGGAATCTACAAGAGGTGAGAATGAGCAATTACGAATGCATTTAAATTGCTCGGGATAACAAATAAAGCTGATAATGTAGTGGTATAGTCCCCATCAAAGAAGGTCTGGATATGTTAAAGAGGACGGCGTTTTCTCTGTAAATCTGGAGAATTTAAGGATGGAGGGAAGACGAATCTTGCTGGCTCAGGTGTAGATGGCTAGAAAAAGGAGCGTGTAGATGAAAGCTCCAGTAAATATCGTCACTTTCGTCTAATTTTTATTCTCACTCACCGTTTCGGCTTTATCTTCGAAATTCATTTTTAAAAGGAAATAAAAGTAATCATTCATACAAGCATATAATAAAACAACATGAATTTATTATATTTAATAAGCTAATAAACGTTTGTTTTAATGAAAAAAACATATATGTGAGTATAAAAAATATATAAATAGATAAGATTAATATCAAAATCAATTTGAAAATACAACAGATAATAAAATGAAATAAATTAATACAAGTACAAATAGAAAGTTAATAACATACCTTCTAAAAGTAACACATTTTAAGTAGATAAATGTTTAAAGAGTTTATTCCTGAACATAACTAATCTAACGTTTTTCCCCTTTTTAATATTATGAGGGTTTTTGTAGTTGAAGTGAAAATTATAATTTATTTTGGTCCTAATAAAAATTAACATAGGTTATCAAAGAGTAAAATTCATAATAGAACTTTATAATCTTAAATCGTTATCAAAAATTATTAATGGTAAAACTTCAAACAATAGATTCTTAAACAAATTTCTAGTTTTTGTTTTGCAAAAGACTTTTTTGCCTTCTTCGGTTGCCTCTGCCACTTTTCTTTTAGTAGTTTCGAGGAGAATTTTCCTATGGAAACCAGTAGAACCATCAATTCGTTGGTAAAATTTTGATATTTTGAGTCTGGTAAGTCTTGATAAACTTTCTTCTTAGGAAGCTATAACCTTATGGAGAATAAAAATTTAATGTTAGATCAAAAGCTCTTAATTGAGAATTATATTTGCAAATGCCGTTTTAATATTTTTAAAAGTTCTTGGAATCGTTGTTAACAGAAACCTGCAAAAAATATATAATTTGATTCCTAAAATATAAGATATCACACAATGCACATTCATATAATATCATATTGCTAGAAAAATACTAGGTAGTTACTGAGACAATTTAAAAAAAGTATTTCGAGAAACTCAACTTTTAATGTCATCATTGTACTTAACTTTTTTATTACTAAATTATTAATAATGTCATTTTGTGTAGTTCGTTCTGATTTGTATAATATATATTATTAAAACCCATCGTCAATGTTAATGTGCCAAGTTTTTTTAATAATTATGTCCTTGTTATAGTAAAAACACATTTAAACAAATTTTTATAGTTTTCTGGATTTCTGCTTTAAATTATCGTACAATTGAACTGACTAATTGTGTGTTTCAGTAAAGGTATATCTCTTTTTTGTTATAACAGTCTTTGTATATTGTTCTAACTTTTTAGATAATCAGAGAAAACAGTAAGACATCTTAATATATCCTATTTCACCAACAAAAATGTAGAATAATTAATCTCACATCAAACGAAAAAAGTAATTTTAGGATGTCCTAACAGGTTTTAACTTAAAACTAAATAAAATGTATATTGCCACTGTGTTTAAATAAATGAATGTTTTTATACCTGACTATAGCACCAGACAAACATTATTTTAGATCATAATGATCTGCATAACTCAAAATCCACATTATTTAAGTTGTTCTAGTATTGTTTTAGCATAACGATGTTAACTCCAATAATAAATATTCACATTTTTTTGGGACGTTTTTTAAGGAAATTAAAAAAAAACATGAATAATGTGATATTCTTGTTTAGTTTTGTACTATATAATATAGTTCATTAGGTAGTGATTTAGAAGCAAATTATGTTCTATTTATAGAATAAAAAATCACTCATAATATCTAAATATTTATACCTATTTATATTTTGGACAGGAAGACTATTTTATGTTTTTGGCTCTGAATACTTTTCTTAAGAATTTTAAAACCTTCCTTAGCTCTTTTGGGATATTCCATGCATTTCTTAGAAGTTCATTTAGTTTAAACCTAAAACAAATTAAGTACAGGGGGGGATATCGCGCATGGTGTCATGGCGGCGCTGACGTCATGCGTAGAGTTAGTAGAGCTGGCGCGAAATAAATATCATATGACAGACGCATGTTGCAGTAGTTTGTGAGTCATTTATAGTGATTTATAAGATAATGAACAGATATTTGTATTATATTGTGTTGTAAAATTTGTTCTCTGTGAGTGGCTTTAATGAAAAACATTGAAAAATTGCGGTACGGATGTAATAGTAACAATTAAAGGAAAGGATTCAAGAAAGATATGGTTTTTCGCTTTCCTCGACAGTAAGAGCTTAGTCAGAAGTAAGAAGTGACCCAAGGGCGGCTCCAGCAGAGTCCCAGGGGAGCATGCCATTCCCTAGATTAAAATTCTTAAAATCCATGAGCCTTTTATTAAAAAAATATGTTAAATAGGCAATTCTACCATCCTTCCCAAGAAAATTCGGCATGAAGCAGCCTTTTCAGTGGCTTGTGACCCGCAGATAAATTTTCATATGTATTCCAAGCACTTTCAACCTTCCAATTATAAGAGAGATCTTAAATCAGAACTTCACATAATGTGAAGTTGTGAATGAACCAGTGTGAATCACATTGGTTAATTCACAACTTGGGACTTCTAAACTGGAGACTCTACCCTTTGAAGGCTAAAAATTTCTCAATATAAGAAAAATAAAATTGTAAATGTCACAAAAAAAAAATTTCGACTTGTATTTCATGAATGATTTAACAACTGTCAGCGACTAGGTCCAGGAAAAATGCAGCGACATTTTATTTTATTTTTGTATTGTAATACAGTTATTTGTATTTGGTACATTTTTTTATGTTTTGCATTATATGAATTTCTGCATTATATTATGGGAATTTTTTTTCTAATACTTATTTTTATTCAATTGGGTAAAATAATGCAGGTAAATGAGTTGCAAATCCTAGTCAGGTAAAAATTTCCGGCATATCCAGATGTGAAATTGTTACCAGGATCCCCAGTTTCGAGTTGTAAAGATACTCTTTATTTTATTATCCTGGTTATAAAAACTATCTTTAGAAGTCGAATTTGTATAAACATAATAAATCATTAAAAAAAAAGGTAAAAACTTTTCAAAAAAATTTCTTTTATGTATGTATTTGCATTTATGTTCCTTCATAGTTCTTTCCTTAACTATCCCATAATAATATCCATAGATATTTCATGTAATTTCTAAAATATTATCTTTAATATTCATCAAATTTCTATAAGTTAGCATATATTTTCCTCATACTTCGTTAGTATTTTTAAATTCGCGCCTATACAAACTCTACGCGTGACGCCATGCGCGTGGCCGTCCTATTTTTGACACTGTTGATATCCTACCTTTT